GGATCTCAGGGAAAGGTTCTTCCCCCAGAGGCTGGTTGGGCACTGCCCAGGCTCCCCAGGGCAGTGGGCACAGCCCCAAGGCTGCCAGAGCTCAGGGAGGGTTGGGATGATCCTCTGGGGCACAGGGGGTGACTCTTGGGGCTGGGCCTGTGCAGGGCTGAGGGTTGGACTGATGATCCTTGTTGGTCCCTCCCAGCTCAGGATATTCCATGATTCTGTGACCCAGAGCTGTGCTGGAGGGATTGACCCACTCCAGTGTGGGGCATCTGCTCTGCCTTGGTCACAGACACCCCCAGGACTGACCCTGCCCTAAACCCTCTTTGCTCAGGCTGAGAAATCACATCTCAATAAAGCCCAGCCCAAACCCTGCGGCCTCTTGGTTACTCATCCCTTGTCTGCCATGTCCCTATTAATGAAGCAGATAAGGAAGGTCTGGGATGAAGAAGCTCCATAAATTTGTACTATTATATTAATCTCATCTCCATCAGGGTGAAAACAATTGTGTACTGTGAGTTCTCCAGGCAGGCCCCAGATTTCCAGCTGACATTAACAGATGGATGCACGGCCTCCAGTGCAAGATCTGTTTAATCACTGAGGCGCTCGGAGCGACTCTGGTACAACATCAGCCCCAACTTGCTCCTGTGTCACCATGGCAACCCCCCCAAAACAAAAGGAAATGTTCAACCACCAGCAAATGGCATCACCAACATCAGGGAAGAGCCTCTGGCTCTTGTGGGGTGGTTTAGCTGTGGGGTTTAGTGCCAAGACCATGAACCGTGGCGGGGTTGGAATGTTGAGAAGGTGCAAGAAAAGGCAGATGGGTGGAAATTGGGGCATCAGGGCTCTCCTGGGGGGAACTGGGAATGCTGGTTGGCACCTGAATGTGGTGCTGCCACCCGAGAGCAAGAGCAAGAGCACATGGTTTGGTTTTGAGGAACAACAGGCATTAAATTCAGTTGGAACTGGTTAATGTGTTGGAACTGGATGATCCGTTGGAACTGGGTAATCTCTTGGAACTGGTTGATCTGGTGAAACTGGTTGATCTCTTGGAATTGGTTAATCTGTTGGAACTGGACGATCTTTGAAGTCCCTTCCAGCCCAAACCACTCCATCATTCTGTAAAATCCTCCCAACCCAAACTCTTCTGCAACAAACAACCCCATTCCTGGTGTTAGGCTGTGAACTTCCTGCACAGGGAACAAAACCTTCCCTAACACACGAAATCTGCCCTAAATCCTCAACAAAGACCCAGTTCCCTGGGATAACTTGGGATGTGAAGGCTCCAACTGCTTTGTCACCTGTCCCAGCAGCGAGGGCAGGATGGTCACCTGCTCCTCTTCCTCATGGCCCATGAACAACCGTCCCCAGCCACACTTGATTTATTTGTGGATGGGAAAACCCTCCTCTTGGATGGCAAAGGAAAAAGCTTAGAGGGTGGTGGGGCACTGGAACAGGTTTGGTCATGGCCCCAATTTGGACAATTCAATTTGGACAAAATTTGGATAATTCAGGGACATCAGGGTGGGGTTTTTGGGGTGTCCTGTGCAGGATGGGTTGGACTCCATGGTCCCTGTGAGTCCCTTCCCACTCCATGGTTCCGTGATCCTCTGAAATCTCTCTAATGGGACTGAGCACCTTGGGGAGAGGGGCAGAGCAAGGGGCACTGAGGCACTTTGTGAGGAGGAATATGAGGTAAAAAACTCATTATCCTGATTTTTGGGACCCCCATTTTCACCGGCATGGCCCAGCCAAGGAAAGCAGTGACTTCCCAGTACATGAGCTCCAAAATGACCCTGAGATGAGCCAGCTGGTCAGAGCTGGTGCTGGGAACACCAAGGTTGTGGGTTTGATCCACTCATTTCGGAGTTGGACTTGATGCTCCTCGTGGGTCCCTCCCAGCTCAGAATATTCCATGAAATTCTGTGAAATCCATGCTTTTTGTGCCCCTCAAACCCCTGCCTGGGCGTCAACACCCACCAGACCCTTGCAGACACAGCAGGGCTCTGCAGCTTCATCCTGATTTCCATTGAAATGCCACCCTGTTGGTATTAATAGAGAATAAATAGATTGGGAAGGAGTTTTTCTGCTGGAAGGCAAATCATGATTGACGTGACTTCTTCCCTGCCAAGGAGTTAATTGTTGGAGCTTTGACTGCAGCAGCTTCTTCAGCCTCACCTGGGAGATGAAGTCACGTGGAGGGAGATGAGCTGGAGGTACCCAAGCAGAGGACTGAGTGGGAGGAAGGATTTATTTTGGGTTATCCCAAAAAACTGCCCTAGAAATGCTTTGGAGAGGCTTTGGCTCAAAACTGAGTGGAACTGCAGGAAAGCAAAGTGGCTTTTTGGGACCTGTGTCCTGGAGGCAACAAAAGATTGGCCAAAACCTCTCTGAAAACTCCTCAAAAAAACCCCCTCAAGACCCCAAAATTCCAAGACATCTGATTAAATGCATAGAAAAACACGGACAGTCCAACTGGTCTGCAAGGAAATGGGAGTTATTTGATGGACCCAGAGCTGAGAGAAGCAAAAAAAAGGTGGTTTTCTCCCCTAATTGATGCTTTTCCACCCCCAAATAAGCAGGATGGCAACTCATCTGAGCTGTGGTGGCCACAAAACCACATTCCCTCCCTTTCCATGGTTTGATTTTACATCAAAAGTTCTTTTCAAGGAGAGGGGGGAAAAAAAAAGAAAAAAAAAGGGAAAATGTGGTTATTGAAATGTTGGGACAATTTTCTTTAGTGATACAATTATTACATAATTATCCAATATTGTGATATGAAATGATAGCCTAATTATTTTCAGGATGTTTGTCCATTTCCATCGATCTCCAGGATTTTTACGGGCTGTAATTCCAGCTTTTCCAAGCAGCCTTTCCATCACCCTTTTTAATTCCCTGTCTGGGAGAACTGTTGTTATTCCTGGTTTTAATCCTGATGGATTTAAACCCAGAGCATCTCAAAGGGAATATTTCCAAGCTCAGCACTGATGGATTGAGAATTGCCACTGAAAAATAGGATTTAGGGCCGATTTTCCCCCAAACACCCCTAATTTGCTCCCTCCTGCCTCCCTGACCCTGTCCTTGCAATGCCAGCAAGGTTGGAGGAGTTTTTCCATCTCCTTCCCCCATGAGACAGAGCTGTAGTTGGTTGGGAAGGTCTCCACGTGGTGCTTTTGGGTTTATTTCACCCTCACAGCAATTTTTTGGGGGTGTTATCAACCACAAGGGCTCCTCCAGCTGCAAAGTGATTTAAATTTGTTAGAAAAGTGCTAAAAAATCACTGGCAGGCCCAAGGTTGGAGGTGTTGGAGCTTTCCTGGCTGGTTGCACTCAAGCCCTGGCTTTGCCTTCTGGAGGTCTCAGCCTGGGGTGTTTCTCCAAGCAAGATTTCAAAGGAAAACACACAATTTTTGTGGAAAATCCTCGCTTTCCATTGTTCTCTTACTTGAGTTGAACCATTGGGTTGAGTCTGAGCAGCAGACTTGGGTTTTTTGGCACCTTCTTGGGTTCCCTGCTCTGAACCCCATGAGAAAACCCACCCAAACCCCCCCAAAACCCACTAACTAGGGGGGCTCAGCCAACACAAGCCATTGGAAGGATGAGGAAGAGGAAGGAGATGAATCCTCCTGGGAATTTGATCCCAGTCCAACAAGGGGAAACGAGAAATGTGGGGGCAGAACCTGGGAGACCTTTGGCTTTTTCCATCCAGCTTCCAGCACCAAACAGGTTTTTGAGGAATAATTACCATGTGAGTCAGCTGGATTTCCACCTGGATTAGGGTGATAAGTTTTGGGACAGAGAAAGAGCTGAGGCCACCACCTCCTATTTATATAATTCATATATTAATCCCTAAGTCTCTGCCACCCAAAAAATACAACACAGGGAGAATTTACGGAAAAATTCAAAGGCAAATCCCTTCATTCTGAGGCAGGAGAAGGGATGAAGGAGGAGCAGAGCCTGCAGTGACACATGTGGAGTGATGTAAAGTTCCTCCTCTTCCCAAAGCTTGACGTGGAGCAGGGAGGGAATAAAAAATCTGCCGCGTTCTCACTTCATCTTCCCAGTGCTCCTGGCTCCTGAAAAACCGGATTTGCAGAGGTTTAAATTCAATCTGCCACATCACCACGGGAGCTTTGCTCACCCTGGATGACTGATGGTCCGAGGGAAGAGCCTCCGAGCCTGGTGGCATCTCAGATCCCTCATCCCACGCTGCTCCAGAGCTCTCATTTCTGGCTTTCCTCCTGGAATTCTTGGCACTGGGATCCACAGGATTTTGTGGGTGGGGAGAACGACCAAAGCTGTTGCTGCCAGATGGTGGGTTCTTGACAAATTGGTTGTGTCACTGAAGCTGTTTTTCAGCTAAAAGTCAATTATTGTTCCCATCAGGATTCAAATCCTCAGGGTAAAACACTGGGAATCCTCCACAACGAGATTATCCGATGCTGGTTGGGTTTCATGGCATGAGGGGCTCCCAGGATGAATTTAGGGGCCGTCAAAGTAGGACCCCCACACAAGGACAACCTCAACCAGCCCCAAAAGCAACAATATTGGGGTTTTCCAGCTTTGATTTCCCCTTTTCCAGCCTTGATTTCCCTGTTTCCAGCCTTGATTTCCCTGTTTCCAGCCTTGATTTCCCTGTTTCCCACCCTGCACTGGGATCTACCACAGAGCCAGGATTTTGTGTTGGGGGAGAACGACCAAAGCTGTCGCTGCCAGACGGTGGGTTCTGGATAAATTGGCCTTTATTGTGTCAGTGAAGCTGTTCCTCAGGTAAAAGTCAACTATTGCCTCAGTCAGGAATTAGATCTCCAGGGTAAAACCGGGAATCCTCCACAATGGGATTATTGTGCTGTGTGAGGGGCTTCCAGGGTGTATTTAGGGGCTGTCAAAGTACAACCCACACACAGGAATGGCCCAAAGCAGCCCCAAAATCTGCGATATTGGGTTTTTCCAGCCTTGATTTGCCCGTTTCCAGCCCTGACTGCCCCTTTTCCCCCCGTGCAGGTACATGGCCATCATCCACCCTCTGCGCCCTCGGCTCTCAGCCTCGGCCACCAAGGTGGTCATCGGGGTCATCTGGCTCCTGGCATTCCTGCTGGCCTTCCCACAGGGAT